AGTCCCATGCACTGGTTTACTTTGGTACCAAAATCACTATTTTTAGCCAAACTGATTTGATTTGATGTAGCCATTAATTCATTTCTGAAGTTGCTTGTTCCTTTCGGGTCAGGGCAGCACCTGCTTTAGACATCCTTTCCAGTGTTTGCAGTCTGTCTCAAACGAGAAAGTTTAGTGGTAAGGATTTTAAGGTACGCCAGTGTCAATTTCTTCCATACAATCGAACCTTTGTCCGCCAAAGGAATTAACCTAAATTACATTGAACATAACCCTGGTGCCTGCATAGCTCCGAAAAAGATGCGTTTAAGCTACGAGCTGGTGTAATAGCTGACGTTGAAATCGTCACCGGGCCGAAAGTGTAAGGGTGCCAACGATTGAACAAGGGCTGGTTAAAGTTTGTGGCCGACATTGTGGCATAATCTACAAAGGTGAAAAGCAGGGACCAGAGACACACTGGAGCCGGTCAAGCCAGTGTTTTTTATGGCCATAACAACAACAGTTGTTTAAAATAGTCGTATACCGAGGCTCCAGCTCTTCCCGGAGGTAACAAGTTGAAATCAGGCTAAACTCTTGGAAATTCCACAGGGTGATCATTCTACTGAATCCAACGGCGAACCGTGCACCTTCGTCGTCGAAGCAGATGCAGTGAGCAGGCTGTTCTTGATAAAAGCAGATACGATCACAAGCCCACGATTGCGAGTCCTCTAAAAAACAAAAACAGCGAATAGACAAACCAGTACAACATTAGAGGATGCTGTTCAGTACCAGATAAAATCCAATCCTTAACTTTTCCGTCCTTTGCAGCTGACATCAAATGCGGCGGTTGCTGATCTTGATACCCAGGGCGAAATTGTATAACGGGATTAAATTCCAAGTGAGGATAGTCTACCATCGTCTTCAGTTCGAAGCTTAAGTTCAAATGCTAAATGTTATCAAAGAAACGATGTCTATGAAGCAGATATGAATTTAAACAACTTCGAAAACTTATGATGCCATGTGGTGAGCAACTATAGGTGAAGCAGTTTGTGATTCCATGGTAACAGACACGAAATACGTGATCAAACAAATTATTTTATTATAATTTCGATAGTTTCAGTAATGGAATGCAGTCTATCAGTGCTTGATGACGAAGTTGTTTATGTTTAGGCTTAAGTCGCAACTCGACCTTACTAACTGCCCTCCCCCCGTAAATGACCCTGAGAAATGTCATAAATGAAACACTAGCGACGTTATCTTCACTGACAGTACACATAACAGAATGAAATTTTTGACAGAAGTAAAACGACTACACTTCTCAGTTTGCAAAAGTATGGTACGTAATTTGGTAATTTGGCAATACGTACTGATGGGACAGGATTAATCCGCTGTCCTGTGAAAAGAAATGCGGTCATGTGCGTTACCACAAACACTCCATCAGTCATTTTTGATAACATCAGGCGAGTGCCTTACTCTATAGTTTGATCGTACAAATACAAGTTTCCTATTATTAGAGATTTTGTTCCTTTACCATAAAACAAAAAATAGAAACGTCCCTTCAAATTTAAGGCTTTAAGTGTATGGCATGAACATAAGCATTTGGTCGAAGTGACATTTGCTTCCTCACTACAACACACAGGAACAGTGTTCCTCGACATAGAAGACCAGTGACATAGCCCAAACCACAATCCCGAATCCTGATTAAGGAAGCGGCAGAGCAAATGTTACGGTCATACCATAAAAGAAAGCGAAAAGAAAACGTTACTTTGATTTTTCAGTATTCCATTTCCAGAATTTCAGCTTCACTTCTCCTGCATAGACATTAGGTGGTCGGAATTCGACCGTTGCTAGCCAACCCTTTATCAGAGCAACAGCCGCGATATCCGTACAAACGATGCTCTCATCCTCAACCGGCGGCTGATTTCTGCCCACGACGTCCAGCTAAAAAAGTCAACCATAAACAAAGTCAACAACGATCAATGCAAAGCGTGCGAAACGAACACATAATAGTCGGATTTTGGAAATGATAGTTTTTGATATCACCGATAAGAATAACAATCTCATGTCAATTCTTCAGATTTAAACGGCGAAGGAGCACCGTTCCCTTGCTTCTAGTAGCTTGGGGACCGTTTAAGAAGTTAGGCCACAGCTCCATAGCATTTTAGTACATGCAGTACATGGAAGCAAAACCGCATCGCTCAACAGGGCCCCATATAAACCTGTTCAGAGACCAACTGAAACGCCATTACGCGTAGGTAATTACATATATTATTGTTAATATTACTGTAAAACAACCAGTCACATAAAAACATGATTTGCATTTCGTGCCAAAAGCAGTTAAACAACAAACGAGAAATTTTTGCTACTGAACCTGGCATAGGATGCATATCCCAAGAGTTCATTCCAGCAACCGCATATAAGCAATAAGAAGAATTAATAACCACGCGAATGTCCGTCATTTTCAAATCCGAAAGAAAAATTAAAATAGCTGCTTATGAAAGGGAAACAATCAGATTCTACAGT